TTTCAGTAAATAATGCCACTGAGCATTTGATCATGTATTTGTGGTGTCATTCCACACATCCACTGATCTGATCGGAAGAAAGGACAACAGAGGACTGTCCTAAAGGATGCCGGGGTTTCTTATTCTAACAGCTGTCCAGTGTTGTTGATTCCAGTGGACTGTATCTCTGTGAAAAACACAATGTTAACTTTTTGTAATTCTATTTGAGCAAGTTGAAAGTTTAATTAGCTTTCCAACCAACCATTTTTTTTTAAATGCTTTTAGTGATTTGAGAGAGAGAGAAATAATAAGCAGCCAAGGTTAAGAACCGCTAATATGACTGATACTGTGTGCTGTCCAAATGTAATAAATCAATCGCTCTTTTATACTTTATAATTTACTCTCAGTAACTTTGTTAGATCAGAATTAAAAGGAAGGCATACATGGTAAACCAGTGACCACAGTCAGCAACTCTAAGTCATAGCCTATATTTATTAAAACGCTCTGACTGCCACTAAACTGTACACTTCTAATGGTGTTACAGTATGTAAACATTTTTCAATAAAGCTGTTTTTTAAGAAGTTCTTATTGATTCTTTTCACTGTTAGTGTTACTGAGTTTGGGCGGTAATAAAGAAGTTATCTCACTGCTTACCAAACCATAATTCATACCATCATAAAATAATTCTAATTCTATACTCTACTTTTAGGGAGCTTATTAGAATTTTAATTCCTAGGAATTCACCTAGAATTACTGAATCAGAATGTTTGGGAGTAGGGACTAAACATATGTACTCTTTAGTTTCCCAAGTGACTTTAAACCCTTACAAGAAACATTGTTGAACTCCATCTGGAGCCAAACCTGGATACGTAGGTTCTTGATACAAGTCTAGCAGTGTATTTCACACAAGATAGCTAGTTTAACCCTATGGAAATACCCTGTCCTCTGCCTTCCAAAATTGCTCCAATACCCACTGAGTGCGGAGGTGCCAAGATGCCCTCACAGCGGCTCGAAGCGCATACACATGCTAGGAGACAAGGGGGAGCACTTACCTTCTGAGAGTCTTTCCTTCCAGCCTTGGGCTGCTGAAGTGAAGAACTCATTGTTAAGGGCTGAACCATTTAGCTTCATCAGACCATCTGGACCAACCTGGGTCAAAGAGTAAGCCAAGGAAAGCTTACAAAGAAAGCCAAACGTTTCAGGTGGAATGTGGCTTTTCCTTTTTAGAAAAGAATGTATGTACATTCACTTTTATAGAAACATGACTATATCATACTATGCTGCTTATTATGGAGACAACCCTGTTATAAAGTAATCTTATTTTCTAAAAAAACTTCTTTCCTTTTTACCTCTTTTCCCTTCTTCCTCTCCTTTCATTCCATTCCCCATTGATTAATTATACTAAAAAGAAAACATCGGCAAACAAATAAAAACATAAGAGTTTTTCTTCTGAGAGGTTTATTATTTTTTTTATAAAACTGTGACAAAGTTATACACACTGCTCTGAATCTCACTTGGTTCAAGAATACATTGTAGAAGTCTTTACAAGTCCACTGATACAGTTTTAGAAACTTTGTAATACCTGCATATTATTTCATTTATAATGTACCTCAATTCATTTACCAATTTCCTATGCATATACATATACTTTGTTTCCCATGTTTTCCCATAATCAACAAAGCTGCAATATGCATTCTGGTAAAGATGAATATACTAGTGCTTTTATTTCTGTGGGAGAGGTTCTGAGAGCAAAGAAATATTTATGTGTTACTAGATATTATTTTCTAAAAAGGCTAAAACAATTCATATTTCTACTAAAAATATATGAGCATGCCTTTTAACCTGTAAATAATAGATGTGAAGATGCTATTTCATTTCTGTCAACCTAATGGGTTTGAAATGGTAATAATTTCCTATATCCTGTCTACTAGAGTGTTGTGCATCTTTTTGTACTTTCACTGAATATCTTTATTTGCCATCTCCTTATATGCCAATTCCTATAATTTGCTCATTTTTCTATGCGGCTGCTTATTTTTATCATCAACTTGTGAGAATCCTTTACTATTCATAGTAAAACTGTCATGTCAAAAATATTTCACCCATTCTGTCTATTGACTTGATTTGTGATGTCATGATGTCTTGCTAAAGGTTTTAAGATTCTACTTTATATTAGATTTCTTATTTCCTGTCCTGGTTTAAAAGCACAAAATCTCATTTAAGGGCATAAAACACAATATCTGAAAAAACCTGGATGGAAAAACTTAATAACACTGCCATTCTCCTCATAGTTACTATCTACATTCCTATTAGAATCCCAATAAAGATTTTCTTATTAATAAAATGACCTTAATATTCATATGGAAAAAAAATAACAAAATTGAAAAGGGGGGAAATTGCCTTTTCAATTGCACCTGTAAAATACATACCACATGTAAATATATAGAACATATAACACAAATGGTATTTTAAACTGTAAGAAAAAGACAGTTATACAAGTATGTAGTTTTGGAACAACTGGTTATCTATTCAGTAGGAAATGAAGTTGCCCCAATTTTGGGGCAATACAAAAATAATTCTAGATGAATTAAAAGCCTGAAGGTTAGTTTGAAGTAAAAAACAATTTTTTGAAGAAAATTTAAGTAACTACTTGGACATCCTGGGAGTAAGCTTGTAAAGAAAAAAACAAACTCTTATCAAAATGTCAAGATAATAAATTACATAAAAATATTCTTATTTTTTTGTTTGGTACCTTTGATAACATTTCTTTATAGGTATAAATAAAAAGCTATTTTAAAAGATTTAAGGATTTCAAAAGGGGATGAGTGAAGGAAGCTTTAGAATGGCTATAAAACTGCTTCTGCTTGAAATCACGCACCTGTCGATCCACCTCTGGAAGAAGCAAAAGCAGTCGCTGTTGGCAATCTCCAGGAAGGACTGAAAAAGTGTGTTTGTTGATCAGTGCTCGAAGATTTGTATTAACCAGAATGGAGTCTGGTGTCTCAACATCAATTTCAGCACATTTAGTCCTTTTCATTTGCCCTACAAAAATATGAAAAAAAATCATTTGGGCCTCCTTCAAATTCCTGTTTCTATCTAAACTACAGCATGTTCTGAAAATAAATAAACAAACAAACACATCTATAATTGTAAGTATTTTAAATGCCACACTATGAAGAAGGTAACAGTTAGGCTCTTAGAAATAGAGCTTCTAAGACTAACAAAGCAAGTTTTGTTCATTCATAAAGGATAAAAAAATATAATTTATCTTGTCTGCAAAAATAGAACAAGGTCTATAAAATTGAACCTTTTGCTATACTAAAAGTACATTTTATGTATGTTTGAGAATTGGTTATTTCCCAAATAGAATTGAGGACGTTTATAATAAATAACACATATACAAAATTTGATTTAAAAAATAGAAAAATTGAAATCTATATAGTGTATATTCCACATTCAAAGGCTGTTAAATAGAGTTATTTACCCATATCTTCAAAAAAAATCACTTCTACTGTCATGGTAAACAACCTGCTTTCATATTTATAATGGTCTGGCCCTCTAGCAACTTCAGTGTGAAATTATAGCTAATTTGCCTACAAACGTCAGGTGGTCATAATAATCTGGCCACTCAGTGTATAGAATACAGGATAGCTATGTATAAAACAATTTAAAATCTAAAAGATGCCATTGTAAAGATGAGGATAATTAGTAGTGAACACAAAGATTTGAGAAAATAAACAGGACTTCCACAAATTAGAATAAAAACTGTTGAAATCAGATACTATGACTATATTAAAGAGCAGTTTAGACACTGTTTAAGGCGGATGGGGTGGCGGGTGTGGGGGTGGCTATAACCTATACATAGCCAAACAATTTACCCAGAATATAAGTAAGATAAGATTAAATATTTTGAGAGCTTTAGCAAAAACATGATAGAATGAATGAATGATCGAATGAAATCTAATAAATGCTTGATTGAAGACAAGGAGAAAATTAAGAGAAAAAAGCAATATTTAAAGAACTGATAGTACATTTATCAAAACTGAAGAAATTATAGGAAGGATGGTTATTACAGAGAGATGGGCTGGAATACAATGAAAACAGGTAAACATTTAGATAAATGTACATCAACATTGTTGTATAAAAAAATAGTAGTCTAGTGTCTGATTTGCGAGATTAAGAAGAGAAATGTCAGACACTATTATTTAAGTCCAGATATAAAATATCAGTGCTAAATTGTTATAAAGCACTTGTTTTGGAGAAAAATCAAGATGATTACTTTTAAGAGTAGATCTTAAATGTTCTCATTACACGCCCGAACTGGTTTGGCTCAGTGGATAGAGCGTCAGCCTGAGGACTAAAGGGTCCCAGGTTTGATTCTGGCCAAGGGTACGTGCCTGGATTGCAGGCTCAATCCCCAGTAGGGAGCGTGCAAGAGGCAGCCGATCAATTATTCTCATCATTGGTATTTCTAGCTCTCCCCCTTTCCCTTCCTCTCTGAAATCAATAAAAATATTTTTTGAAAAAGAAAAACAGAAGACAAGAATCAACAAATAAACAAGACTGCAGAAACTAGTCCAAATAGATTAGCAATTACAGTAAGTGTAAATGGATAAATCTCACTGAATAAATGAGATTGTCATATTGATTTACAAATTTTAAAAATTCAGCTAGCTATATGCTCTGCAAAGAGACATACCTAAAACACAAAGACACACAGAAATGAACAAAGTAAAGATATATCAGGGGAAAAAACTAATCAAAGGAAAGCTGGTGTACCTTTTATGATATGTTAAGTAAAAAACCTAATCTCTTTGTAATAAATAATAAAATTTAAAAAAAAAAAAAACCTAATCTGCAACTGATAAAGTAAATAAACAGTGATAATGATAAAGGGTTCAATCCATCAGGAGGATTTTAAACATGAAAATATCTACTATATTTTAAAATGTGACATAAAAAATGATAGAACAACAGGGAGAACTGGACAAAGCCACCAATAAGATTTCAACACATCTCTCTCAATTATTAATAAATCAAGCATACTAAAAGAAGCCCCAAAAAGACAGGATGGGGGAGTGGGGGGGGGGGAGAAGCTGAGCTATTTTTCAGATTGACAGGCTTGATCCAATAAACACAGAATTCTATACTTATAGTATTTATTCCAAAAACGGTCTGAGTAATTTTTCTTTAATCCTCACCCAAGGATATGCTTATTAATTTTAGAGGGGGATGGGAGGAGAAAAAGAGAAATACAAATATGAGACAGAATATCGACTGGCTGCCTTCCATATATGAACCCAAAACCTAGATATATGCCCTGACTCAGAAGGGAATCCACAGCCTTTCAATACATGAGTCAATGCTCCAACCAACTGAGCCACAACGGCCAGGGCACATCTCAGTAAATTTAAAATAATATTACTAGTAATAACAAAAATAATGATAAATAACAGCAACAGTAAACACTTATATAGGGCCTCCTACGCACCAGGCACTACAGTTGTGACTTTAATTGAAGATAGGTCCCCAAAGGAAGAAATTTTGTTCTATTCATTGTCACGTCTCTAGGGCCCTAAGCCTGTGCTTGGCATATTAGTATACCTTCTGCAAGTATTTGTGTAATAAATGAGTATTTTTAATCTCTGGCAGTGGAATTAATGATCAAAGGGCATATTCAGTTTATGGCAGATACTATCTCTAAGAAAAATACAACAATTCATTACCATACCTGGAATCAAATCATTTTTTTATAAAGAAGTTGTCTGGAAAAAAAAAAGTTGTCTGCTCTATTCTCAAATGTAATAGTTTGGAAAAGTCTGGAATATATAAATGAGTGTGGAATAGCTTTTCTCCATAATTTTGTCAGCATTTCTATACAATCTTTTAGCTTTTATGTTGCTTCAGAGATGTCTGCCATTCCAAATCATGAATTTTTTCTTTTAATATATTTTGATTCTTTCTACAGAGAGGAAGGGAGAGGGATAGAGAGCTAGAAACATCGATGAGAGAGAAACATCGATCAGCTGCCTCCTGCACGCCCCCTACTGGGGATGTGCCCGCAACCCAGGTACATGCCCCTGACCAGAATCGAACCCGGGACCTTCAGTCCGCAGGCCGACGCTCCATCCACTGAGCCAAACAGGTCAGGGCCAATTCTTGAATTTTTATAAATGAATTATTTTTTTCTCTCTGGAGGTTTTTTGCAAATCATCTCATGTCCTGGATGTTTTGAAATTTCAAAAGAATGTGACTTGGAATAGGTTTCCTTTTATTCATATTTCTTGACACCAATTATGTACTTCCAGTCTGAAATCTGTGGCTTTTAAGTCTATCGAATTTTCTTGTATTTTATCTCTTACTAGAGGCCTGGTACATGAAATTTGTGCCCTGGGGGTTGGGGGATTTCTCAGCCCAGCCTGTGCCCTCTTGCAGTCTGGGATCCCTCAGGGGATGTCCGCCTGCTGGCTTAGGCCCGCTCCCTGTGGGAAGCGGGCCTAAGCCAGCAGGTGGGCATCCCTCTCGCAGTCCAGAACCCCTCGCTCCTTACCGCCCGCCTACTTGCTGCTTCCTACCGCTCGGGTCATTGCTCCTTAGTGCTGCCACAGAGGCTTCTGCCACCGCTGCTGCTGCACTTGCCAGTTGCACTTGCCAGCCGTGAGCCCGGCTTCTGGCTGAGTGGCGCTCCCCTTTGGGAGCGCACTGACCAGCAGGGGGCAGCTCCTGCATTGAGCGTCTGCCCACTGGTGGTCAGTTCATAGCAACTAGTCATTCCACTGTTCAATTGATTTGCATATTAGGGTTTTATTATATAGGATTATTTACCTTTCTTTCAATTTATTTTTTATTTCTGATAGTCCTATTATTTAAGACACTGGACAGCACAGATTAGCATTCTAATTTTCTTACCTCCTCATATGAAACTCACCTTAGCCCTACCTATGCTCTGAGAAATTTCTTCACCTTTAACATTTTGTATTTCTATCATAGTTTTTTATTTCTGCTACCACATTATTTAATATCCTAGAACTCTATTTTCTGATATCTAATACTAGAGGCCTGGTGCACAAAAATTTGTGCACTCGAGGGGGTGGGGGTGGGGTGTAAGGCAGGGACACTTGTTCTAAAGAAAAATTTCATAACTTTATAACAGGGCCAGTCCAATGTTACCCTAAATTGTAGGGCCTGGGAAAGAATTGGATTCATATATTAAAGAAAAGAGATGCATCTCATGTATGTGGATGAGGGACTTGTCTTCTAGGGTGTTTGACCTCCATGATGACTGTCTGTTTGGCCATCTGTCTTTTATCTTGTGCTATTAATTTTCTGTCCATCCTTCTTCCCTCCCCTTTCTGTCTCAGATCCATTCTCTGATGATCTCTGCCCTGGTCTGGAAGGATGGCCTTTGTGGGTGGTGTCAGCTGTGCTT